AATGCTCAACCAAGTGCTATTCTGACTATTAACCAGAAAGTACTGGTGGTGCTCAGAGGCAGAACTTTAACTTGGAGTCTCCATCCCAACCTCCGTGTGCAAGTCTCAGGACCGCAGAATTTAACCTTCCCATGCTGCAGACAGAACCCTGAGGCCAGAGGAGGAGGAAGAAGGGCTACAATCCGTGCTGGCAGCAAGGCGAGCCCTGCGACTGGCTCCCACCCTCAGGCTCTCTTTTTGCCTTTCAGCAGGGCTTTGCTTTTTATCCTACCCTCCCAACCCCACCCACCCCTGCTAAGAAAGAGCCTTCCCCTAAAAGCCCCTCTTCCCACCATGGATGTTGGCACTTGGCTATGGGTCCCCAGGCTCCCTTGCCTTTCCTTCCACAGGGCTGAAGCCAGGAAGGTGAGGGTGGGCCTGGGGCAAGTCTCTGACTGTATGGGAATGAGCCCCCACCCCAGGAATGAGGCCTGGCTGCTGCTGGCATGTTTGCTGCGGACCCTTTGGCAGCCATCCATCATTAGAGAAAAGCAAGGCAGCCAAGACAAGACAGAGGCTAATTACCTTGGGTAGTAGGAAATTGGAGAGCAGTTACAAAAAGGGTGTCTGGGCCTCCGTCCAGGCAAGGGCAGCGACCATGGATACCCAGCCTGGCCTAAGCCATTGGCCCTGAGTGGAGACACCTGCTCAGGGTCACCCTTGGCCTCCACTCCAATAACCCATGGGAACAGGAGCTGGCCCTGCTGTCAGACTTTCGTGGGACCCTCTCCCTCTGCTGCTTTTGTTTGTTTTCATTCAAAAGTAAAACAAATGAAACAAACAAGAAAATTCAATTTAAACAGGGCACAGAGGGCTGATGTTTCTGTTTGGTTACACCAGGGTGAGCTTAGGACAGAAAATAGCCTTGACTTTCACTCCCCCAGTTGGTCTCACCCTGCGGCTCTGTGTAAAGTTACACGGATGGAGGGGCTGCAAAAGCCATTTGCTTTTCTAGGTGGGGTGGAGAGAAGGAGCTGGACATGGGGAGGGAAGACTGAGAGAGAGAAATGGAGGCCAAAATTCAAGTAAGAAACCGGGCAGAGAGGTGAGATATATTCACAGAAACCCAAATTAAGAGAGAGACAAATTAGAAAGGAAAAGAAGCGATGATAAGGAGAAAGGCAGACAGACAAAGACAGGGAGCCAGAAGAAAATCCTGACGCCGAGAAGGAATAAAGGACCGCAAAGCAGAGAGGGAAGGCGCGGAAACTAAGGTGAGACGTGAAACGGAGGCGGGTGGGAGCCCAGGAAGGGGAGGCCACGAATGAGAACAAACCCCACAGCTTTGCTCAAGCTGAATTGAAGAGGTTGAAATGACAGACTAGGGAGGGAACAGAAATGTCCAGCCCAAGATCCCACAGGCAACAGTGGTGGTAGCAGGCTGTGAACCCAGACTCCTTGTGCTCCACCTGAATCCTCCCAGAGGCATGGATGGTGCACTGGGGCCAAGTTTGCTTAACAGAAACTCAGCTCTTTCCAAGCCCTCTCTCCTCTGGATGCATCTTCTCCTTTCATTCTATTTACTTCTCCCCAAAGATTTCCAGATGATCGTTCCTTCTATGGCTAGTGGGACCCCATCTGGCTTATGAGACCAGCTCCTCCAGGGCTGTCCTTGGAAGAAAGAGACACTGATAGCCAGGGACTGAGTCCAGGGCAATGACGCAGGAAGAAGAAAGTAGCAAACATTTCCTTCAGGCCTCCTACGTGCTGGGCATTCGGGTGAACTTGGTTTGTGGAGTTTCTCAACTCAACCCTCTTCCCTAGACCCCCATGTGAGAGGGACAATGATCAGCCTCCTTCTCCAGGGGGCAGAAACTGTCTCAGAGAGGAGTGAAAAATGATTTGTCCCAGAGCAGGTGATAAGTACGGAACAGAATCAGGATTTACACTCAGCCTGTCCCCAACGCCTATGCTCTTTCCACTGCCACACGTGGTCTTTCTGGCTCAAAAGGAAGAAAACAAATTTGGGTAATAAACGAGCAGCAGAAAATGAGAAACCCTCAGAACTGACCCTGGAACTATTTCAAAACTCCAGACTGAGTTGGTCAGGCTTCACGGGAGGAGAGCCGCCAGTGGAATGAGAGACCGTTCCAAACAACACCCTGGTTTCTTGTCAGAGTGGCCCAGATCCCAGGGCCATTAATAAAATCCATCTCAGAATAAATAAATAAATAAACGGATCTTTTAAAAAGCATTCTGAGTCAGGGAATGACAAGCGCGTTTCCAGGACAGAAGAAGAAAAAGAATGTTCCCCGCTTTAAAAGGTGGGGGGGGGGGCAAAGTCTGTAGTAAGAAAAAGAAGAGGTGAGGGCGAGTGTGCATCTCTATTAAAGGCAGCAGTTGATCTGTCTGTGTTAATTGCTTTAGGGGTTCCATAAAACATTTCACTGCTCTGCACAGAATGGGGTTGTAGGATTCCAGCCCAACTGACAGCAAGTTCCAACGATGTCACCCATGACAGGGCAACAGCAGCAGCTGTGATAACGGCTCACAGTTCCCATATTCCTATGTGGAGCTCATCACCAAACAAAGCTTTTCTATATTAACTCGTCAAGTCCTCCTGGGGTCCCAGGGAGCCTACACTATAGTATTCGCATTTTCACAGGGGGGATGAGGTGCTCACTCAATGTCACATGGATGAGAAAGGGCACAGAGAAGATTTGAACCTAAGGCTGTCTGCGTCCAGTCTCCATCCTTAACGAGGAACAGAGGAACCAGAAGCCAGTCACCAGGAAATCTTTAGAAAATGCCACTTGCTTTATGCGATCATAATTTTTAGCTCCCATTCTAGTCACATGCTTATATTTCATAAATGAAGTGATCCCAGACCTCAGGGTAGTGGTGCCAGCCTCTCTGATTAAGGCTATAGAGTCATCTCCTCCAAGTCTGCAACCTAATCCCACCACTTTCTGCCAGAACCATGGTCATCCCTTAAGGCTTGAGGTATATCCTGCCACCTCTGCAAAGATGTCCCACTGGAAGACATCTGATAGCCTATTTTCCTCTGTGGATTCTATTCGTAGGGCATTTACTGTCCCTAAGTTATTTACAATAAAGCTTGGGACTCAACATCTCAAAGACTGGTAGTGACAGAGCCCGGGTCAGGAGCCCCAACTCTCAGCTTATGATGATATTACTCAGTTTACACACCACTGTATTGGGTGTTCCAGGGAGATTTAATGTGTCAAGTAGTCAAAAGAATACAATAGTCTTTTTAAAAAGGCATGGTTTTCAGCTAGGTAGTGAAAGGGGGAGAGGGTTTTATAAAGATGAGGGAGGTTCACAGATTGTGGAAGGACTAATATTTATTGAGCACTTACTTTTCTGTTGTTGTTGTTTATTTTTTGAGACAGGGTCTCACTCTGTTGCCCTGGGTAGAGTGATGTGGCATCATCACAGCTCACAGCAACCTCAATCTCCTCGGCTCAAGCAATCCTCTTGCCTCAGCCTTCTGAGTATCCGGGACTATAGGGGCCAGCTATGATGCCAGGTTAGTTTTTCTAGTTTTAGTAGAGACAGGGTCTTGGTCTCCCTCAGACTGATCTCAAATTCCTGAGGTCAAGCAATCCACCCACCTTGGCATCCCAGAGAGCTGAATTATAGGCATGAGCCACCGCACCAGCCTTGAGCACCTGCATATACTGTGCTAGGGGGTTTCTCATTTAATTCTTCTTACACAACTCTGCAAGCTGGGTTTATTATTTCTGTTTCACAAAGGCTGAAACTGAGGCTTACAGAGGTAAAGCGACTTATTTAAAGTCACATAGCTAAGAATATCAAAGCTAGATTTGAATGCATAGTCTGTGGCCTTTCATACAATCATCAGGTTATACATTATCTGAAAATAGGACCACTGTCTTAGTCACATCCATACCTGCAGTCTTTAGCACAGTACCAAGATGCAGGAAATCTGAAGTTGTCTGCTGAATAGGGAAATGAGTTATGAATAAGTGAATAAATATGTGAGTGAACAAAGTAACTGATGAATAAATAAGTGAAAGAAATGAAGGCAGTTAAATGCCCATGAGCAAATGGACAGATGGTTGGATATATGGACAGAGGGAAGGTGAGAGGGAGCAATGAATGGAGAATGGATGAGTATTTGGGTTAATGGATGCATACGTGAATCAGTGAATCAATCACCAAGTAACTGAACATATCAGTTGGAACTTCAGCTTTCCAGGTTGATAAAGGAGGTGACCTATGATTTCCTAATTAACATACATGAAGAGAACTGGTCTCTATAACTTTGTGTTAGAGCTTGTGAAGGTTGTATCCAGATGTAGCAACACTTACTGAGGTGGGAAGAAACAAAAGATGAGCTCCTTTTCTTTTCCAGGACTAACAAATAAATCTCAGAGTAACTTCCCCTTTCACCCCCAGGATTTTGAATTCAGTGAATTCTATAAAGGTGTGGTAATGGCACATGTTTCTAAGAGACTGGCTGGGTCGATCAATAAAAAATTACATATTACATATATTAGGATCTATATCTCAGTATGTACATATATATATGGCCCAGTGTGTGTGTATATACGTACATATAAGTGTAAATATGTATGTAGATATCTCAGATGTGGTAATGTAATAATTTAGAGGCAACAGCACGGAAGAGAAAAAAGGACATTAGGCGGGAATTCTTGCTCCTGCTCTCCTCGATAACTTTCTCTATGATCTTGAGTAAGACACTTTCAGTCTTTGGGCTGAAGATTCTCCATCAGTAGAAGGAATGGTTTTGAATTTCTGGCCTCCCTGGACACTTCAGCACTAATGTTGTGTGTTCTGTGACTCACATGGCTATATTTCTCAAATGGACACTTCTAAGCCTCAGAATCTCAAGGTGCTCTTATTAGCTGGCCAACAAAACATTTGGCTTGCCTGGATAGAATACCTCATGTCTTTCCTAGTGGCTTAAAACCATCCTGCCTGCTTTATGCTCCCCGCACACCCACACATCTTACTTGTAGAGACCATCAGGCTCCAGACACTTGAAGATGACGGAGTAGATACTGACTTCAGGGACCTCTCCATGGCTTCGACCAGCTGCCACACAGGATGTGCCCAGGCCAGAGAGTAAGTCATCAGCAAAACTCAGGAATTCTCCTGGAAGGAGACACAGAAAGATGAGCTCCCCAGATCATCCCTTAGTGAGCAGACATTCTTGCTATCATCCAAACCTATGAAACGTCTAGATACCATTATCAGGAGGATTACAGAACAGAAAAAAATAAAAAAAAAAGAGTATAAGATATAAAAATGACCTAGATTAATACATAGACTTGATGACTCTTTGTTCAAATTTATGTGTAAATTCTTTCACCTGTAAAGTGAGAATGTTAATACCTACCTTCATAAGACTGTAGCAAGGCTCACATGAAGTAAATTACTGTGCAATAAAAATGCATGAGAAGGTAACAAGAGGATTATGCTTTCTTTCTGTCCAGAGTAACCTATTCCATTCTTGTCACCAACAATAACTCCCAGTTGTATACCAACGGAAGGGTCAGGGACTGACCCACCCCACTGAAGGGGTTTATACAGGACAACAGAACATGCAAAAACAAACCATCCATGGGGTCAGTCCCTGACAGCTTTAAACAGGGTCCCCCTTTCTTAGAATTGCATTTTTCTTCTCAGTATGATGAAAGAGTTACACAAAGGATATGAAATAGTTTTCACAGAAAATGGCCTTCATTATGCACTGTCCTGGATTCATGGAGTGCTATGTTGAGAAGGACAGAGACCTAACACAGTTAGGGGAGAAAGAGTTCTATCATTGATGAGTGATGAAGGTCCTGGGTCAGGACGGAACAGTGGTAGAATAAGTGCTGCATACTTGCGGTCCCCCAACTCCATGGTTTCTAAAAGTCAGTCGAGTCACTGAATGTTAGGAAGCAGCTTACATGTATTAGAAAGAGAACAAACAAATGAGATGAGAAAGTAAAAAAGACGACAAAGGATAACTGAGTATCTGTAATCTAATCTCAGTTCGGCTAAACTACTACAGCTTCTGGCAACTCCATTCCCATCTCTGCACGTTAGTTCCCTCCTCTGTAAGATGAAAACGCTGATCACTATTAGGATTCTAGAAAAAATGCAATAAAAACAGAGATGGGAAGAAAGATTGAGGGTTTTTTTTTTCTTGCTTTGTTTTGTTTTTGAAACAGAGTCTCACTCTGTTGCCCTGGATAGAGTGCCATGGCATCATCACAGCAACCTCAAACTCTTGGGTTAGAGCAATCCTCTTAGCTCAGCCTCCCAAGCAGCTGATAGGATAGGTGCCCACCTCATTGCCTAGCTAGTTTTTCTATTTTTAGTAGAGACAGGGTCTTGCTCTTGCTCAGGCTGGTCAAGAACGCCTGAGTTCAAGCAATCCACCCGCCTTGGCCTCCCAGAGTGCTGGGATTACAGACCTGAGCCACCACACCTGGCCCAGAAAGATTGAGTTTTAAGGACAACCCCCATCAAAAGAAAAAAGTTATAGGGACAAAAATTGCAGTACTATTTATAAACTAGTTTAGAAACAAACATTTGATAATACAGAAACGGCTATATCTGTTGTAGTTCAATGATGCAATGAGATGTTTTATAGCCATTAAAAATAATTTATGAAGTAAATGAAAGGATATTTGCGACATTTTGTGAAGTTAAAAAACAGGTTATGCTATTACAGAATAATCCAATTTTGCAAAAATTCCATAGATACATGTATTTAAAAACAGAAGGCAGAAGATAAAGCAACGGCTTAATAGTGGCTCTGTCTGGAGAGTGAGATAATGAGCACTTTTTCTATTTTATTTGTGCTTATCTCTTTTTTAAATTATCTTCAATAAACATATATTGCTTTTGTAACAAGAAAAAAAATCAACAAAAAATTACTTTAAAAAAAATAAACGAGCCAGACTAAATGGCCTTTTAGTTCCCTTCCAATTCTAAAATTGGATGATTTAGGAGCAAAGCTGCC